GTCGCTACCCGGATTCGAACCCGGGACCTTTGAATGAGAGGCCAACGCCTTAACCTCTAGGCCACGAGAGCCCCCTTTTCTCACTTTCCAAATAATTAAGAGATTATATCATTGACCAAAACACATGATAGACTATATATATAAGCCTATTTATACTGTCCCTGTCCTATCCCCATTTCAAGCAAGATTTATTTAATCCCAGGGCAGTCGCTGGTGATAAAAATAATCTAAATCGAAACCTGTTCCATTGTTTTGAGGCCTCCCTCTAAAAGAGAATGCAAAATTTAAATAGATAACAACTTCCAAAAATCTGCATGCATGGTATATCAAGCCCCAGGGTGCATTATAATATAAAAAATGTTATGTTCATAAATATAAGTCAAGTCTATTTTGTAGGATATCTAGAAGGGCTTTTTTCCTATATTTTATTATCATTATCAGCAAAGAGAACACTTCTAAAATGTTTGTCTTGAATAAATTTAAAGCACTACAAGTACCGGTAGGTCAACAGCTTAAAGAACTAGAAAGATCTTTTTAAGGAGAAACTTACAAAACATTAGGGTCACCGCCATACTGTAGCATCAGAGAGACCAGACTCTGGCCTTGGCCTGCTGCAATATGCATTGCTGTGACTCCTTCAGTGGGCAAAATCTGGTTCGGGTCAGCACCACAACATAAAAGCAGCTCTGCATCTCTAGGAAAAAGAAAAAAAACAATACTAGACTTAAGCTCAAAGATGATTCTAAAAGCAAGGGGAACATGGAATCCAAGTTCAAAATCCAAAATCTAAAGAACAATTAACAATTATTTCATGATACAACAAATTTCTTTAATATTTCATAAGGCATGCTATAGCTATTTTTACATCATACATGCTATCAAATCGTTAGTCTCAAGATCTTCGTGCATCCACACTTCACAAGATTGGTAATGATATCGTTGTATTATTTTTATAGCTAATATTAGTATTTAGCTCTTTACAATTTTTAAGTTAAAAAGTAGTAAGTAGTAGGCCCAATTCAATTCACTGTGCATAATTTAAAGTAGGCCTAGACTCCACTAGACCCAATACTCAGTATAAAAAGTAGAGGAGTTGAGTCAGACGGCCTGCTTCAGTTCCAAAGCCTGCATGATGATACTGCAGTGGAACTCGGTTTCAACGAAAACTCGGATTCAACTAAGAGTTGGATTCCCCTTTTTTTAAAATAAATAAAAATCAATAAAAATAACTCAGATTCAACTAACACATATATAAATGTGTAAGCTGGGATTCAACAAATCACTTGCAGGGTGAACTGCCAAATGATGCAACCAATCAGCGGCCTACTTTCATAGATTAGATAAGAATACCAGTCATATCGTTATGTCAGTCATTTCATCACACCGGTGCAGTCAAGGCGTCAGTCATCTCGTCACACGGTCATTTCGTCACACTCTAAATCCACGGATTTCGCAACACACTAACAAACATCAAACGTTAATTGTCATTGCAGGGGTGTGTGGAAGGACGGGGGAGGGGGTGCGATATGTTGTGCCTACCTGATCAGCAACACTAAACCGATCATAACTGGGTGAGTTTTGTTGAGTTGTTTTTAATGAAAGATTTTCCAACAATTGTTTTGTTTTGCCTTAGTTTCTAACTTGTTGAGGGTTTTTTTAATTGGTGGGAAGGGTGGGGTTTGGGGGGGCAGTTTTGTTGAGATGTATTAAAATAGTGAAATAAGGTTTCCCCACTGTCGTTTCTGTTTTGCGTGCAGACCATTATATTTATTGATCCATTTCGTTACACAGTCATTTCATCACACCGGTGCAGTCAAGACGTCAGTCATCTCGTCACACGGTCATTTCGTCACACTCCAAATCCACAAGGATTTCGTTACACACTTGCAAACATTTAGCGAGAATTGTCATTGCAGGAGTGTGTGGAAGAACGGGGGAGGTGGGGTGCAATACTTTGTGCCTACCTGATCAGCAACACTACACCGATCATAACTGGGTGAGTTTTGTCGAGTTGTTTTTAATGAAAGATTTTCCAACAGTTGTTTTTGCTTTAGTTTCTAACTTGTTGAGGTTTTTTTTAATTGGTGGGAGGGCTGGGGGACAGTTTTGTTGAGATGCATTTTTAAATGAAATAAGGTTTCCTCACTGTCGTTTCTCTGTCTTTGCGCGCAGGCCATTATATATATATTTATAGGACGTGAGCCGGGCTACCCGGGAAGTGCGCAGGGCGACCTACTTCAACAGGGAAGCTCAAGATTGAAAATTTCAGCATTCCTTAAGGAAAAAGCATTTCAGGCGGGTTACTCCGGGGAAAAGCTGCGCTTCTAGGGTTAGAATTTATAACAATTTTCGAGAGATTTATTTAAATTTATAAGGTAAGTCATTTCGACACGTATAAAATTGGGCCCAGTAATTGGGGGTATGACGAGATGACCATTTGACGAAATGACCAGTTACCTAGAACTGATCTGTAGGCCTACCAAAAACACGCATTCTGATATTATTAGCACTCACAATGCATGTCTTAGCGCATGTCGGGGTCAGACGGGCAGCCAGCACACGTGTGCGTGTGTGTGTAGGGTTGGGAGGATGGAGGGAGGAGCAAGCAGTCCGGTAGTGGAAGTTCAGAAGAGATACAGCCTGGCACTCCTGTGCAATTGTGGTCCCGTTAGATCTTGCACTAAATCACACAAGAAAAGACTACTGGATATCGATACAGATTTAAATTATATTCGGTATCGATGTTTTATCAGTAGAACTAGCCTAGGAAATGAGCAAAGCAGTAAAATTCTACTTCTTTGTATTTAACAAGGCAAGGGGGATTTCAGGGGGCAACCACACTAACAAAAACAAATGGGGTTTTTAGGGGGGAATGCCCCCTCTGAATTTGACCAGAACTACATAATTTGATGTTTTGAAATTAGGTTTAATTGGCTATCTCTCCATAGATCTAGGCCTATCGGCACGTGCATCAAAAAGTAATCATTTAGAACCAAAAGTAATCGTTGGTGGGCTAAAAACGGTATCCCTAACGAGACCGCAATTGTACAGGAGTGCCTGTGTCAGTACCCCCCCCCTCCCCGGTTAGTGCGATCGTGTTCGCAACAATCATGAGTAGAAAATGGACAATTAATAGAATCTAGTCTTAGTAGGCCTAGATCTATATATATATATA